CCAGTCCTCATTGAGGGAGGGGTAGGAGAGGGTTATGGGACCTTCACCTGAGTGTCTGGCCACACCTCCCATCCTGTGCTGGGCACATGGCCTTGGGGAAGCCTAGAGTATGCAAACCTGGGAAGACTAAGGGAGAGGGCTCCATTTATGTGGCTATGGGGAAGCCATTGTCCATGCTGAGTGAAGATTTTCTGGTGCAGCCTTAGCAGGAAAGCATTCACACTCCTGTGAGTAACCCCTCACCCATTGCTCTGTGAGTAAGCCCAATAAACTCATTGGTTTCCCAGAGTGAACTTTGGTGGAATCGTACCTTGAATTGTTGTTTGGACTGAGGGAGGAGGGGGTGATTATTGTTTAGTTTTATGTTGTAGTTTTAGGTAGTTAATGAGTTTTAGCAACAGATGCCCCCTTCTGGCAGCCATGAGCATCAGGCACACAGGTGGTACACATATACATGAGATAAAAATAATTTTTTAAAGCCAGGTGTGGTGGCACAGGACTTTAATCCCAGCACTCAGGAGGCAGAGGCACGTGGATTTCTGTGAGCTCGAGGCCAGCCTGATTTATATAGCAAGTTCCAGGTTAGCTGGTGCTACAGAGAGACCCTGTCTCAAAAAGACCAATAATAATAATAATAATAATTTTTTTAAAGTGATACCTTTCCAATCTAGGCATGATAACTCATACAGGTAATCCCAAGATTTTGGAGACTGACTGAGGCAGGAGGATTGCTGCAAGTCAGAAGCCAGCCTGTGCTACATAGTTCTAAGCCAGCCTGAGTAAGGTGTGGGTAAGAGCTTGTCTAAAAAAAAAATGCCTTTCCAGTGGAGAAGTCTGCCAGGTACCACCTCAACCTCAGGTTTAAATTTAGCCTCAGTGCTGAGTCAGACTGTGATTTTGTGCCTCCTGGTGTGAGAAAAAAAGTAAGTACACACAGCAGCACTTCTGAAATCTTTCTACTAAAAAAATTAACTTGAAGCTGAGCATGGTGGCTCAAGCCCTTGTTCCATATCGCAGCACTGGGACATTGCCATGAATTTGAGGCCTGTGGAACTATAGAGTATGACTGTCCCAAAAAACAAATGAATTAAACACTGAACTTGAATGCAATCAATTCCATATATTTTACAGAAAATATAGGAACTAGAGGGCCTAGGAAATAATACAAACAGGAGACAATGAGATAATACAGGACAAGAGACATTATGCAGGGCCAACACCCTGGACAGTTTTTTCCTTAATATAAATTTATTTATTTTTATGTGTATGATTACTTTGCCTATATGTATATAAGTGTATCAGGTGTGTGCAAAGCCCTTAGAGGCCAGAAGCTGGTGTTGGATCCACTGGAACTGAAATTATGGAAGATTGTTAGCTTCCATATGGATGTTGGGGATCAAACCTGGGTCCTCTTCAAGAGCAGAAAGTGCTTTTTAACTGCTGAGACACCAATCCAGCCCCAATATATTTTTTATTGATTGAGAATTTTATGCATGTAATGCTTTTTTTTTTTAAGACAGGGTCTCACTATATAACACTGACTGGAACTCGCTATGTAGACCAGGCTGGCCTTAAACTCACAGAGATCCATCTGCCTATGCCTCCTGAGTGCTGGGATTAAAGACATGTGCCATCACACCTGGCAATTTATTTCATTTTTAATCATGTAATGTGTGTTGGGGAGCATGTGCACATGAGTCTGGGTAACATGGGAAGCCAGAGGCATTGGATCTCCTGGAGCTGGAATCACAGGCAGTTGTGAACCACCTGACCTGGGTGATGGGAATGGAACTCAGGTCCTCTGGAAGAGCAGTATGACCTATTAACTGCTGAGCCAGCCCCCAAATTGCATTAAAACTTTTTTAAATTTTTATTTTATGTGTATAAGTATTTGCCTGCATGTGTTGTAAGTGCAATGTCCTCTGAGGTCAGTGTTGTCTTAAGGGCTGGAGGTTCCCAGCACTGCATGACATGGGTGAACCTATCTACATTCAGGCAATATACTCAAAACACATAAAATAAAAATATGAAGTAAAGTCAGGGGTGGTGGCACACACCTGTAGTCCCAGCACTTGGGAGGCAGAGGCAGGCGAGTCTTTGTGAGTTTGAGCCCAGCCTGGAGAACCAAATTCAGAAAGTTGTCCTCTGACTTCCACACATTCATGCCCATGCACATACACACACAAAATAAAATTAAAGCTTTTTAAAATTTTTATTATTTGTATTTTATGTGTATAATGCCTGTGTGTAGGTAGGTGCACCCATGTCATGCAATGTCCAAGGAGGTCAGAAGAGGGCGTTGGACCACCTGGAACTGGTTTTATGGATGGTTGTTGACTGCCATATGGGTGCTGGGAATTGAACCTGGGTCCTCTGCAAGAGCATTCAGTTCTCTTAATCACTGAAACATCTCTCCAGCCATCCCCTTCCCCCCAGAAAAAAAGCCTTATTTTAAAAATATATAATATGGCCCAGACACTAGAGATTTTCTTGGTTTTCTGAGGTGCGATAAGGGCCTTGTGTGAATGAGTCTAGTCTTCTAGGACCCACTTGTCCAGAAGTGGCTCTTGTCCCTGAAGGACCAGAGCTACACTGTTCGCCTTTTTTCCTAGGTCCCGAGATCTGGTGTGCAGTGTGGCAAAGACTTGAACATATCAAAGTGACCAGAGGACTCTGTGAGCAGAGGACTAGCCTATTAACCATGAATAAAGGAAGACTGGCATAAATGGACATCAGGCTCAGGCCTGAATTAAGACACCTGGTTATCAGAAATACAGCCAGCTTTGTCAGTCAACCACTAAACTCTACAAAGAGCTGCATGTGAGGTGTGACCCAGAAACTGAAGGAGAGCCACAGAACTGTATGTGGCCAAGTGCATCTCACTTTTTGAACAGACTAGACTGCAAACATAGGGCCAATGAGCACAGCCCTGTGAGATAAGTTGGCTGTGGTGGACCCTGCAGGAAGTTGAGGTATTCTTAGCTTGCTTCCATAATTCTCTTCATTCTATACATCTGATACCTGGCCCGGCATTTTCAGTCATTTTTGACAGGCGAGGATGGATGCTCACCACTCCAAAAAGGCAGTAGCACCCTTCGGTTGTTTTTGTGGCCAATTTTTTCCTGCATGTGTGTGTACATGCATGTGTACATGTGTGTGCAGAGGCCTGGTTTAACATCAGTTTTCCTCCACAGATCACCTTATTCAGGGTGGCCCTGACCTAGGTAGCCAAAAGTAACTTTTATTATTCTCTAACCATACTGTATATGCAAGTATGAGTATAGACAGGTCAGAGGCCAAGTTTGTGGCCTTGGCTCTCTCCCTCTTCATGTGTTCTGGGGATTGTCAGGTCTGTGCAAGCTCTTCTGCCAGCTTGAACCATTTTACCAGGCTCTCAATGTTTGATCCTCCTACTGTGGCCTCTGGGCCTAAGCCTACCAACTGAACTCCCATCTTCAATTTGGCTGGGTTTGCAGGTACACTTTTAATCCCACTGGAAGGCAGATCCAGCCCATCCAGATAGTTAAGATTCCATTTCAAACCCTGATCCCCACATGCACCCTGCCACCAAAAAAAATTTCTAGGTGTTACAGGATCAAGGCCCAGCAATAATCTTCTGTACAGCTAAACTGACTTCCTTCAAACAGGTACAACCAGAGTATGTCAAGAAATGATCCCCAACCTTTTTTTTTTGCAGTTACACTTCAGCCTCATCTTGACATATTTAAATGTACCATGTGGTAATTTCCCACACAGCACTGGCTCAAGCTGGTTTATAATCTCTTCAAAGTTCTGGCTCCTTGTTTTCCTCAACCCCTGCCTTTATTGGTTTACCCTGGAATACTCAGTAGCACTTAAGATCTCGTGTAAGCTATTCTATGGAGTGCTGTCTCAATTTCTAAGTACCACTGCTGCTTAGAGACCCACAGGAACACAGAGACAAATGGTTCCTATTTAGTTTTATTCATAATCATAAACTTAACTCTGCAATCCAGCTAGACTTGGAGGGGAGTAAGGAGAATATGGAACCCAAAGAACTGCATTGTTCCATAATTCTCTTCATTCTATACATCTGATACCTGGCCCGGCATTTTCAGTCATTTTTGACAGGCGAGGATGGATGCTCACCACTCCAAAAAGGCAGTAGCACCCTTCGGTTGTTTTTGTGGCCAATTTTTTCCTGCATGTGTGTGTACATGCATGTGTACATGTGTGTGCAGAGGCCTGGTTTAACATCAGTTTTCCTCCACAGATCACCTTATTCAGGGTGGCCCTGACCTAGGTAGCCAAAAGTAACTTTTATTATTCTCTAACCATACTGTATATGCATGTATGAGTATAGACAGGTCAGAGGCCAAGTTTGTGGCCTTGGCTCTCTCCCTCTTCATGTGTTCTGGGGATTGTCAGGTCTGTGCAAGCTCTTCTGCCAGCTTGAACCATTTTACCAGGCTCTCAATGTTTGATCCTCCTACTGTGGCCTCTGGGCCTAAGCCTACCAACTGAACTCCCATCTTCAATTTGGCTGGGTTTGCAGGTACACTTTTAATCCCACTGGAAGGCAGATCCAGCCCATCCAGATAGTTAAGATTCCATTTCAAACCCTGATCCCCACATGCACCCTGCCACCAAAAAAAATTTCTAGGTGTTACAGGATCAAGGCCCAGCAATAATCTTCTGTACAGCTAAACTGACTTCCTTCAAACAGGTACAACCAGAGTATGTCAAGAAATGATCCCCAACCTTTTTTTTTTGCAGTTACACTTCAGCCTCATCTTGACATATTTAAATGTACCATGTGGTAATTTCCCACACAGCACTGGCTCAAGCTGGTTTATAATCTCTTCAAAGTTCTGGCTCCTTGTTTTCCTCAACCCCTGCCTTTATTGGTTTACCCTGGAATACTCAGTAGCACTTAAGATCTCGTGTAAGCTATTCTATGGAGTGCTGTCTCAATTTCTAAGTACCACTGCTGCTTAGAGACCCACAGGAACACAGAGACAAATGGTTCCTATTTAGTTTTATTCATAATCATAAACTTAACTCTGCAATCCAGCTAGACTTGGAGGGGAGTAAGGAGAATATGGAACCCAAAGAACTGCATTGAGACATCGAGAGCACAAAGGTTATGGGATACTGCGAGCAGATGGGGCGGAGGGTGCTCTCCTGAGCTACAGAAGGAATGGTCTGGTGGTTAAGATGCACACAAGTGAAAAGTATTAGAGCTGTCCACAGTCAGAGATGGTGATCTTCTTGCTGGTCTTGCCATTCCGTGACCCAAAGCGCTCCATGGCTTCCACAATGTTCATGCCTTCTTTCACCCTCCCGAAGACCACGTGTTTGCCATCCAACCTGTAGAATAATCACTAGAAGTAAACAAATGGATCATACCACATACTGAGACCAGTTATACTACAAAACACATGCTAATTATATAAAATCAACACTCTTACTAGCTAAACTTCCACCACCACCACCCCCAGAGATGATCAGAAAGGTTGAAGGAACAAGTGCCCCAGCAGGGCTCTTGTCATTTCTTTCAGATGCATTTACAGAGCTCCATTTCTTACCACTCAGTCTTGGCAGTGCAGATGAAAAACTGGGAACCGTTTGTGTTTGGTCCAGCATTTGCCATGGACAAGATACCAGGACCTGTATGCTTCAGGATGAAGTTCTCATCCTCGAATTTCTCCCCATAGATCGACTTGCCACCAGTGCCATTATGGCGTGTGAAGTCACCACCCTGTGAACACATCAGGAAGCTGTCACTTTTGGCAATGTCATCTGTAAGGTTCAGACTTTATTCAGGTCCACTTTTCTATACAGGTTCTGGGATTCAAACTCAGGTCCTCATGTTTGTAGATCCTTGTGCAGCAAGTAAGCACTTTACCAGTTGAGCCCTACCTACCTGAACCCCAGCCCAAGGCCCAGACTTTAGATGGCTAAGACTGGGTGTGCAGCACACGGGAAGAGGCAAGATGATCAGTTTAAGGCTAAATTTGACTATAGTGAGTTTGGGGACACCTCAATGGCTTTGTGGGTAAAAACACCTGCTGCCAAGCCCAAAGACAGAAAACCCATCACAAGGACCCACATGACCAAAAGAACTGACTCCTGCAAGTTGTCCTCTGACTCCAAATGCAGTGGCACCAGAGAGAAACTATTAATGGTACAATAATAGCTCAGATGAAGTAGACCTGAAAAATTCTGCATCAATCCCAAATTAAAGGAGCACCAAAGAAAAAACCAGTAAATTTCATACCTGGCACATGAATCCTGGAATAATTCTGTGAAAGGAGGAACCCTTATAACCAAATCCTTTCTCTCCAGTGCTCAGAGCACGAAAGTTTTCTGTAAAAAAGTTAAAAAGCACATTTATATATATGTAACTCTTTGAAATTGTTTTATCCACAATACTTTTAAGTTTAGGAAATGGACCAACCTGCTGTCTTTGGAACTTTGTCTGCAAACAGCTGTAAGAGAAAATGAGTTAACATATGGTTAAATATTTTGCTGCTTAGTATCCTTAGTTTTAGGGGCTTAGGGATCACAAAATCATTTCCTCACTACTTCAGTTGCAAATGAGAACTGCTCCTTACAGCTTTAAGATCCTTCAAGGTTGGGTCAAGAAACCTGAGACCCAGACATGTGGAAAATCCAGAACCAGTCATGACTTAAATAGTGACAAACTCCTTAAATGTGACTCAGAACTTTTAATACATCACACCTACTTCTGAACAGTCTTAAGGCTTTTCAAGTGCATATCACCTCAGGATCTAACAAGCTCTAATAAAGAGCACCGCCACATGCTACATGAGCAGGAGCAAATAAGCTGTGGCCATTGGCAATGAAAACGCCACTATCTCCAACCTATTAGCACATCTTTATGGATTAATCACCATTTCTTGGTTTCCAGGTCCTTTGCCCATGTGTGGATGTTTTGAACCTTTCCCTCAACTGTGTAAAACATAGAAAAGCAGCATTTGTGTGTGTCATGGTGATCAAACCCAGCATCATGAGCTTGCTAAGCCGGCACAGGTCACTGAGCTACATGTGCAAACCCTAAGTATTTTGTTAACTATTCCAGAAAGCTTTTGCTCTGAGCTTTCAAAGCCTTTTTTTCTTTTTTTACAGGTACCGTTTTGGTTCAAGCCTTCTTGGCAGTTCGAAGCCGGTTCTCACCTCTGGTCCTGTTGTCTCATCTCCATTAAGGTCTGGATAACCTGATACTAACCTGCTGCCCAGAGCTAAGCTTAGGCAAAGTTTCCACAAGAGCCCTTGTCAATTCTCACCTCTAACTACAGATAAACGCAGGCTGAAGGCCGATTAGGACCTTGTTTCTCCAAATACTTAGTGCCTGACTCCGGGCATTAGGGTGGTGGAGTAGGCAGTAAGGCAATCACTTAAGCTCTATGCAGACTGAAAAGCAAACAGATTTTTGGAGTAAGATCATCGAAACTTGACCACTGCTAAGTTTTTGAACAGAATAAAAACTTAGTCCATTTCACTATGGCCTAAAGCTTACTCGGGTTGGCATTAACGAGACTAGAATTTAATATTTAATTTTGCAAAATGAGCCCGCCCATTGTGTAGGACAGTCTGCTCTAATTACTAGTCTTTTAAAACAGTCACTTAACACGTCCAAAACTAATCGGGCAACTTCCCACTGGCAATGCGCCGCGGTCAACGAAGGCTGCAGCAGAGCCAGTCACAACATGCCTGCTCCAGAGGACAGTCGGGAGGAGCTGGAAGGCGCCTCCCTCGCCAAGCCGTCACTGCGACGAGAGGCGGTCCTTGGGCTCCCGGCGAAGGCCAGGCTTTCCCTATTTCCGCTTGGAGGTGGGGGACGCGGAAGGATATTGGGCCTACTTCTCGATCAATTTCCCTGTTTCAAACTAAGAGAAATGCTAACCCCTTCAGCAAACCCTACATTTTGAAAGACCGAAATTGCCCAGACATTACTTAGCTCTGGAGCGTGTTTGCTCCTTGGGACCCTAGGCTAGTCTCTTCCTAGCTCCGGCTAACGAGCAGCCCGGGGCCTCGAGACCCGCAGACCTTGGGGAAGGTGGCGGAGAGGGGGAAAATAGAGTCCCGGGGGGTCCGGGTCAGCTGCGCCGGGCTGGGCAGGATGGAGCCCAAGGGGCTCGCGGGCGGGAGCGCGGAGCACGTGCGCCGCCGGGAAGGGCCAGTCCCAGGCCGGCCACGTGCGCCCGCGGGCAGGCAGACGGGGCGGAGGAGGCGCGGTCCCCTCCCCCAACTGCCGCCCGCCGCACCCGCCTCGGCTTTGTCCGCCGCCCGTCTGGCCTCCCCGAGCCTCGCCGGCCTCCCAAAATGGCCCCTCGTCAGGAAATGGCGCCGCCACCCGCGCTCGCTCCTCAGGAGGGTCGGTCCGCGCCTCGGGGGTGCCGTCGCCCGCCTCACTCCCCACCAGCTCCCAGGACCCCACCCTGGCGCGCCGCCGCCCACCCGACCTCGAAGGAGACGCGACCCAAAGGCTCGCCATCGACTGCGATGTCGAAGAACACGGTAGGATTGACCATGGCTGACAGCGAGCAGCTACAGGGGACAGCGGCGTCTGCAGAGCGGCACGAGCCTGGCCGCAGGCTGCATTTATATGACATCCAGGCCCCGCCCACAGCCCGGTCGCGCGCCTGGACCTTGATCAATCAGAACTGTTTCCCAGAGAGAGTGACGGGACGGCTGGCCTATGAGTGCACATGGGCGCGGGACGGGAAGCGCGCGTGCGCCGTGGTGCGCAGAGGCAGGTTCCCGCCCGCGGGCTCCTACGCGGTGGCTGCGGCGCAGGGTGGCGTGGTCCCCGGGGGAGGGTCCGAGGGGAGGTGAGGAGTGTGGGCAGGCAAGCTGGCGATGGACCAGACCGTGTGGGGGCCTGGGGCCCTGCTCTGTGATGGAGCACATGTTCCCATTGTACAGAGGGAGCAATTGAGGCAAAGGTGGGCCTCAAGGTCGTGCCTACCGTCAAGGTCGGGCGGGGTCCTGCGGCCCGGCCTGGTCTGCGGGGCGCGGCGGAAATGCGAATCGGCATCCCTGGGCTGAGATCCAGGTCCCGGGTTGCATCCTGCTCTGGCTCCCGCCTCCCGCCGCATCGCCAGGCCAGGGTGACGTTCCCTTAAGCATTTCCGTTTCTCCAACACGGGAAGGGCCTCCAGGACCCCCCTCCTCTGAAAGGTTATGGAATACTTTAAAGATGCCCCACTTTCCGAAAATATCCTGCATTTTCTGCAGGAGGAAGCCATTTAAACAGGATCCTGGCCAGGCCTTATCTGTGACTTAAATCACAGAGGCATATTAAGTGTGAACTTAAGAATACAAAGGCTTCCCAGCATGGTGGCACGGACCACGTCTCCATACACTGAAGCAGGAGGATCATGAGTTCCCGACCAGCCTGAGCTTTGTGAGACCTTGTCTCAAAAAAAAAAAAAAAAAAGCGTTTTCTTTATGCTTCTTTAATAAGATTCGTGGGGCAAGTCGGTGATGTTGAGGATCCTTCGGTAGCTCACCAGCATCATCTGTGGAAGTTGGCTTCTTACAGAAACAGACCTCAGGAATGTGGGGCTGTCCTTGCCTTATTTGGATGAATAAGACCAAAAGCACATGCAGTTGAACTTCAGAGTCCTGATCTGCCAAGCTGGAGATTCTATAGCAAGCAGAAGTCGGGTGTAGCTTTTGTTCAGATACCATCTTATATATACATGCCTATCTCAGTGATGAGGGCACTGGGTGAAACACTTGCAGTCTAAGCATGAGGACCTCAGTTCGGATATCCAGCATCCATGTAAAAGTCAGGCCAGTGGCAGGTGTCTAATCCCAATGCTGAAGGGAGTGAAGCAGGTGGAACCTGTGGGCTGGATGGCCAGCCAATTAGTCTAGCCAAAACAGAGCTCCCAGGCACAGTGAGAGACCGGCTCAAAAATAAGGGAGAAGGCCAGGACACACAAAATGTCTCTGAACAAGAGAAATGTGGAAAAATTGTAAAAAGCAGAGTACTTTGGAAGAGAACAACGTCCATGTCAGGTGTGTTTTACTACCTCTTGCTTGAAAAGTTTCTTTCTCTTGGTGACTGACTTTTTCTTTCATGTTTCTCCTACCTCTGACCATTCATTTATTAATTAAAGTCTCACTGTGCTATCCATATTGGTCTCAAATTTCTGGACTCAAGTGATTCTCTTCCTGTAGCCTACCAAATAGCTTGCTGGGACTGTGTCCTGTACTGTGGGCCCCAGTGCTGGATGATCCTTTTCCTTTTAACCCTTCCCCAGATTAATTCTCTGACTACATATTTGGTCTTCTTAAAACACTCAGGGTTGTCCTCTGGCCTACACACACACACACACACACACACACACACACACACACACATTCTCCCACATGTTCCTATACACAGAACCTGAGGCCCTAAGCCAGCATTGTCGCTCATTGGTAGAGCACTTGCCTAGATCATGAGAGGCTCTGATTTCGATCCCAGCAACCTCACAAAGGAAAAAAAGATCAGAAAAGCCATGTTGGGGACTGGAAGGTTGGCTCATCAGTTAAGAGTGCTTGTTCCTCTCTCAAGAGGACCCACATTGGGTGGCTTAAAACCACCTGTAAATCCAGCTCCAGGGGGATCTGACACCTCTGGCCTCCCAGGGCAGCTGCACTCGTGCACACACTCACATAATTAGAAATAATTCTTGGGGCTGAAGAGATGGCTCAGTGGTTAAGACCACTTCTGTTGCAGAAGACCTGGATTCTGTTCCCAGTACCAACATGGCGGCTAACAACTGTAACTCCAGTTTCAGACAGTTCAGCATCCTCTTCTGGTCCCCACAGGTATTGCACACACATAATGCACTTACATACATGGAAGGCAAAACAATAAAAATAAAAATTTTTTTGTCTTTTTGAGACAGGGTCACTCTGCAGCCCCAGATGGCCTGGAACTAGCTATGTAGATGGGGCTGGCCTCAAACTCACAGAGTTCTGCCTGCTTTTGCCTCCCAAGTGCTGGGATTAAAGGTATGCATCACTGCACCTGGCCCAATAAATTTAAATTTTTTTAAACTTAAAAAAAAGAATTAGCTGGGCATGGTGGCGCACGCCTTTAGTCCCAGCACTTGGGAGGCAGAGGCAGG